CCAAAACCTATGGGATGCAGCAAAAGCAGTTCTAAGAGGGAAGTTTAGAGCAGTACTATTCTACCTCAAGAAGCAAGAAAAATCTCAAATAAACAACCTAACCTTACACCTAAAGCAATTCGAGAAAGAAGAACAATAAAACCCCAAAGTTAGGAGAAGGAAAGAAATCATAAAGATCAGATCAGAAATAAATGAAAAAGAAATGAAGGGAACGATAGCAAAGACCAATAAAACTAAAAGCTGGTTCTTTGAGAAGATAAACAAAACTGATAAACCATTAGCCAGACTCAGCAAGAAAAGAAGGGAGAAGACTCAAATCAATAGAATCAGAAATGAAAATGGACAAGTAACAAGTGACACTGCAGAAATACAAAGGGTCATGAGGGATTACTACAAGCAGCTCTATGCCAATAAAACGGACAACTGGGAAGAAATGAACACATTCTTAGAAAAGCACAACCTTCTGAGACTGAACCAGGAAGAAACAGAAAATATAAACAGACCAATCACGAGCACTAACATTGAGACAGTGATTAAAAATCTTCCAAAACTCAAAAGCCCAGGACCAGATGGCTTCACAGGCGAATTCTATCAAACATTTAGAGAAGAGCTAACACCTATCCTTCTCAAACTCTTCCAAAATAGAGCAGAGGGAGGAACACTCCCAAACTCATTCTACGAGGCCACCATCACCCCGATACCAAAACCAGACAAAAGTGTCACAAAGAAAGAAAACTACAGGCCGGTATCACTGATGAACATAGATGCAAAAATCCTCAACAAAATACTAGCAAACAGAATCCAACAGCACATTAAAAGGGTCATACACCATGATCAAGTGGGGTTTAGCCCAGGAATGCAAGGATTCTTCAATATACGCAAATCAATCAACATGATACACCATATTAACAAATTGAAGGAGAAAAACCATATGATCATCTCAATAGATGCAGAAAAAGCTTTCAACAAAATTCAATGCCCATTTATGATAAAACCCCTTCAGAAAGTAGGCATAGAGGGAACTTACCTCAACATAATAAAGGCCATATATGACAAGCCCACAGCCAACATCGTTCTCAATGGTGAAAAACTGAAAGCATTTCCACTAAGATCAGGAACAAGACAGGGTTGCCCACTCTCACCACTCTTATTCAACATAGTTTTGGAAGTTTTAGCCACAGCAATCAGAGAAGAAAAGGAAATAAAATGAATCCAAATCGGAAAAGAAGAAGTAAAGCTGTCACTGTTTGCAGATGACATGATACTACACATAGAGGGTCCTAAGGATGCCCCCAGAAAACTACTAGAGCTAATCAATGAATTTGGTAAAGTAGCAGGATACAAAATTAATGCACAGCAATCTCTTGCATTCCTATACACCAATGATGAAAAATCTGAAAGAGAAATTAAGGAGACACTCCCATTTACCACTGTGACAAAAAGAATAAAATACCTAGGAATAAACCTACCAAAGGAGACAAAAGACCTGTATGCACAACACTATAAGACACTGATGAAAGAATTGAAAGATGATACAAACAGATGGAGAGATATACCATGTTCTTGGATTGGAAGAATCAACATTGTGAAAATCACTATACTACCCAAAGCAATCTACAGAGTCAATGCAATCCTTATCAAACCACCAATGGCATTTTTCAAAGGACTAGAACAAAAAATTTCACAATTTGTATGGAAACACTAGAGACCCCAAACAGCCAAAGCAATCTTGAGAAAGACAAACAGAGCTGGAGGTATCAAGTTCCTGAACTTCAGACTATACTGCAATGCTACAGTAATCAAGACAGTATGATACTGGCACAGAAACAGAAATATAGAACAACGGAACAGGATAGAAAGCCCAGAGATAAACCCATGCACTTATGGTCACCTTATTTTTAATAAAGGAGGCAAGAATATACAATGGAGAAAAGACAGCCTCTTCAGTAAGTGGTGCTGGGAAGACTGGACAGAAACATGTAAAAGAATGAAATTAGAACACTCCCTAACACCATACACAAAAATAAATTCAAAATGGATTAAAGACCTAAATGTAAGGCCAGACACTATAAAACTCTCAGAGGAAAACATAGGCAGAACACTCTATGACACAAATCACAGCAATATCCTTTTTGACCCACCTCCTAGAGAAATGGAAATAAAAACAAACAAATGGGACCTAATGAAACTTAAAAGCTTTTGCACAGCAAATGAAACCATAAACAAGATGAAAAACAACCCTCAGAATGGGAGCAAATATATGCAAATGAAGCAACTGACAAAGCATTAATCTCCAAAACTTACAAGCAGCTCATGCAGCTCAATATCAAAAAAGCAAACAACCCAATCCAAAAATGGGCAGAAGACCTAAACAGACATTTCTCCAAAGAAGATATACAGATAGCAGACAAACACATGAAAGGATGCTCAGCATCACTAATCATTAGAGAAATGCAAATCAGAACTACAATGAGGTATCACCTCACACCAGTCAGAATGGCCATCATCAAAAAATCTACAAACAATAAATGCTGGAGAGGGAGTGGAGAAAAGGGAACCCTCTTGCCCTGCTGGTGGGAATGTAAATTGATGCAGCCACTATGGAGAGCAGTATGGAAGTTCCTTCAAAAACTAAAAATAGAACTACCATATGACCCAGCAATCCCACTACTGGGCATATACCCTGAGAAAACCATAATTCAAAAAGAGTCATGTACCACAATGTTCACTGCAGCTCTATTTACAATAGCCAGGACATGGAAGCAACCTAAGTGTCCATCGACAGATGAATGGAGAAGATGTGGCACAAATATACAATGGAATATTACTCAGCCATAAAAAAGAAATTGAGTTATTTGTAGTGAGGTGGATGGACCTAGAGTCTGTCATACAGATCGAAGTAAGTCAGAAAGAGACAAACAAATACTGTATGCTAACACATATATATGGAATCTAAAAAAAAAAAACAAAAAACGTTATGAAGAACCTAGGGGCAGGACAGGAATAATGACGCAGATGTAGAGAATGGACTTGAGGACATGGGGAGAGGGAAGGGTAAGCTGGGACGAAGTGAGAGAGTGGCACGGACTAATATATACTCCCACATATAAAACAGATAGCTAGTGGGAAGCAGCCGCATAACACAGGGAGATTAGCTGGGTGCTATGTGACCACCTAGAGGGGTGGGATAGGGAGGGTGGGATGGAGATGCAAGAGGGAGGAGATATGGGGATATAAGTATACATATAGCTGATTCACTTTGTTATAAAGTAGAAACCAACACACCATTGTAAAGCAATTATACTCCAATAAAGATGTTTAAAGAAAAAAAAAGGAAAGGGATAGAACAATGAACACAACAGTTGTCAACATTATGAAGAAAAACAACATGCATAGTACGAGCCCAATTTAATTTACAATTATTGAGATGTATAAATAATAAGGTAATACGGTTATCTCTGGGTGGTACAATTATGGGCTCTTCGTTTTTTTGTGTTTTTTTTTTTTGTGACTTGCATTATTCTTATAAAAGGGGGAAAAAAAGGAAAAAAACTAAGTTTAAAAAGGTAAATCACAAACTGGGAAAAATATTTGAAAGCAATAATAGTTTAATAATCTTAATATATAAAAAAATTGCCCCCAAAATTAACACCAGAAAGGCAGAGAACACAGAATTTAAAAAAAATATTGGGTTGAAATAACATGTAAGAACAATAAGCATAAAAACTGTTTAACCACATCAGTAATCAAACAAATAGGAAGTTAAAACTTTAAGACACAATTTTCTCAAATTGGCAAAGATTAAAAATAACCCATAACAGTAAAAGTTAATGAGGAACCAATCAGTTGGGTATTCCCATATGTTACTTTAAATGATACTACAGGCCGAAATTCTTTATCTGAAATTTTTGGAGCTGTGTTTCAGACTTCAGAATTCTTTAGATTTTAAAGAAGACAGAAAATAAGACGTGTAGTGTATATTAAATAGAACCTCCAGTTAGGTGAGAGGCTGTACCCCATAATCAAACACATATATTTTTGCTGTTAAGCATGTAAACATTCACAAGAAATTGAATACATGAAGGACTGAAAACAGCCTAATTTCTGTTGATGCCAGTTTTTTATACAAAATAAGTTCAGGTCGGAGTTTGCGGTGAAATGAGTTAAGAAAAAAATGTATGGTTTTCAGAGTTTTTTAGATTTCAGAATTGTTGATAATGAATTCTGAACTGTTCATACAATCTTCCTGAAAATCTCTTTGGCCATATGATTGTAAATTTAGGTTTTAAAAAGATTATACCTTTTGACCTACTTCTGGGAGGAACTAAACAGAAATGCAGACAAAAGAACTATCCTCAAGGATGGCCATGATAATTTCATTTATAACAATAAAAAAGAAACCAGCATGGAAGACTAACAAAAAGTAACGGTTATATTGTGGGACAGCCAGATAAAAGGATATTATTGGCCAAAAAAGTCATCTTGAGAAGGATACTTAATAACTCAGGAAAAGGCTCTGTACTTACTGCTGAATGAAAAAAAATCAAGACAAAAGTTCATTTTTAGTGTGATGTCAATTAAAAAATACATATATCTGTAATATCAAAGACTTGAAGAAAATACACCAAAATACTAATAGAGATTAGAACTAAACATTGGGATTATGGGTGACATTTACTGTCTTCTCTGTATGTTTCAGATTTTTTTGTAATGAGCATGAAATACTTTTTACAATTATTAAGGTAATTTTCTACATAGGATTTATCTTATTCATCTTGCTATTTATCGGAGGACATAACATAAACACTGGCAGGAGGTACGTGTCCCACAGATATATACACGTGACTCTGAATTGCTCCTCCCCTTTCACCATCGCTTTCTTCGGGGAGTTTGGCTTATGGTGCTGAAGCCCTGAAGGAGATTACCACACTCGCCAGCTCATAAGAGTGGTGGGAGCTGGGGGAACGGCTACTCTCCATGAAATCACAGCCATAACTTACTTGACACCTGCTGAAAAGCTCACCACAGGGAAGAAGAGCCCATCTGTGTTGAAGTTCTCAAACATCCCCTGCACAGGCTGCCCGTTGATGCGGAAAGAGATGCTGGGCGCTCCGAGGTCCAGGCAACAGCTCACCACGTCGTCCGACTTCAGGAGGTGCTGGTTGATGGAGGCCACGGCTCTGGGTATGCGGCCTGGTGAGCAAAGAACAGGAAGAAGGTGTGTGGGACTCTGGGGAGGTGCTCACAGGTGAGGTGAGCAATGAGAAATGGTTTCCTAAGCTTTGTGAACAGGCAGCCCAAGACGAGATGAGTCCCAGAGAAAAGTCTCAAGCCGCCAGGAATGAGAACAAACAAGAATTCAACCCGTTCAACGCGTGCTCAGATTCTGGCCTGGTGTCTGAAGTAACGGGCAAACCGCTTTGCTGGGTGTGGCTCCTAGAGTGTGTTATGTTTATTCGCAGATGCCCCAAGACCTTGCTCTCTTCCATTTCCTCTAAAAGACATGGCCACCTCGGCACCGGATGCAGGAGCCATCCGAGTGAGTAAGAGCAAAGCCATCCAGCCACAAAACAGTGCAGCATAGTCGGCTTGCTTGTTTCTAAAGAATTTATTACTTCAGTGAGGCAGGGAAACACATTGTCAGTTATACGCCGTATTGGTTGTTTTTTGTCGTTGTTGCCTATCTTTCATAAGATGATTTGTCATTTCCTGACCTAACTTAAAGTAGTGAGAGAATCATCTCTTAGGTTTTCTAGGTCACACCATCTCATTCTGGAAGTTCTTGAAGTAAATGATCGTAACCGCCTCTCCCATCCCTGTACCAAGTTTTCAGTTCTATTGGAAAGGGAGCAACAAAGGGGCAAAAGTTAGGTATTAAATGGGGTTTCAAGCAAAACATTTATAAAGGTATATCTTGTTTCTTGATCATGGAAGCAATACACATTCATTATAAATGTTAATTGTGTATACAGAAAAGTATAAACAAGGAAAAAAATGTCACAATTAATTTTTTTGACTTTTTCACATATATTTAAATATTCACCCAAACTGGAATATTGTAGATTTTGTAACTTGTTTTTTCTACTTATCATGTTGCAAATATTTGATTATATAATGGAATATTCATTAGAAACTAGATTTTTAATACGATTTTTAAAACTAGATTTCATAATACGCCATGAAAAGGCAATTTTTTAAAAATCCCCTTATGATGACTATGTGAGTTCATAAATTTTGTACATATATCTATGCTATGTAATATTCCTAATCTTAGTTTAGAACTCTTTTTCAGTGGTTACTGCTATTCTAGTAATAGATTCCAAACGAAGTGGTGGATTTTAAAATAGTGAAACTACTACATTCTCCTTAATAAAAAAAATTTAGGTACCCCCTTGTGGTTGTTTTGGTTGACTGACAAAATCATATTGTATTCCCTCCCACCCTTCCACAAACAGTAATGAGGCTCTACACTGTGCCAGATACTGTACTTGGGGCTGGGGATCAAAGACTGAGGATCCAGTTCCCGCTCCTAAGAAATCCATAGTCTTGTGCAAAATAAACGTTCAAATAAAGAACTACAATTCAGTATAACTATTGGAATGAAGGTGTACATGACGAGATGCCTTTAGAGGTAGGACAAGGTGCAAAGTCAGCCCGGGAGTATGGAACAAGTTAAAACTTGAAGAATGAAAGGTTCACTAGATAAATGAGAAAGAAAAGAGCATTCCAGACAGAAGGAACAGCTTATGCAAGAGGAGTGTATGAGTGTATGACATTTGCAGAATGGCTAGAGTTTGGTGAGGCTGGAACGTGGGGCTTTATGGGGGCCTGATGAGGGGTGATAGGGGAATAAAGGATGTAGAACTTGGACCACTGGCACTGCCACAGGGCAACAGCACCTAATATATTCAATGCATACTGGCAAATTAGCCTGGGATGGCCTCAGATTCTGTTTTTACAATTTTATACCTTGTCTCATCACTGAGAATGAAGGACAACTTCCTCATTGTAGGACCTACAGTCAACACTATTTAAAACAAAACAAATCTAAGCAAACTTGATGAGTGTGTAGGTTTGATACCTCTCCAATGTCTCCATTTGACAAGACTGAGTCCTCTCAGCTCCTTTTACGGAGTTTAGATATCCCAGGGTCCCAGAATCTTTCCTTCCTTATCATATTCAAGTCTGTGATTGGTATTAAAACTCAGCAAACTTTGCCATAATTGTCTCATTCTTAAGACTTCTTGTTTTCCCAGTAAAAACCAATCTTTCCTGCTTCAACTGTTTCTTTTTCAACTAGTTTAACTTCTGGAAAACATCACTGTAGTCATTTGCACAAATCCTGAGAGATTTCCATGAATTTGGGAAAACCAGGAAATTATCGAAATGCTGGGTTGGACAACTACCTTCAAAAGTGTCAAGATCCTTACTGGATAAAAATACAAATGAGAAGGACCTTTAGCTTTCTGAGATCCACATCAACTAGGACAAAACAGACAGGGTTGAATTGTGACTCCAGGGCCCTCTCGTCCCACCCTCTCACAATTCACTGTTGGTTTTTGTGCCAGTCTGAGCCTCAGCCAGTAAAGATAAAGAGCAACCTTCGTGGGGGATGCTCTTCATACAGCACTGCTTTGATGCCATCTGAGACTGAGTTCTGAGCTTTATTTAGCCTTCAATACACCATAGCACCAAGAGCCTTACTGAGGAAGGATGGCTGGGAGTCTCTCTCCTGTCCAGTCTGCTCTCTCATTTCAAAACCACCACCAGGACGAGAAGTTATGTCCTTGTGGTGAAGGACACTGTCTTTTAACTCCCGTATTCTAAGAGACTGGTGCCTAGCAGAAGTTGCTGTTGGAACATTTGCTAAGAGCATCCATAGGCAAATCAAAATCATAGTCTGAGCCAATTTTTTTTTTTTTTTGCGGGACGCAGGCCTCTCACTGTTGTGGCCTCTCCCATTGTGGAGCACAGGCTCCGGACGCACAGGCTCAGCGGCCATGGCTCACGGGCCCAGCCGCTCCGCGGCATGTGGCATCTTCCCGGACTGGGGCACGAACCCGCGTCCCCTGCATCTGCAGGCGGACTCTCAACCACTGCGCCACCAGGGAAGCCCTATTGTGAGTTTTGAATGAACTATTCCATAGAGAGTAACTGGAAGAGCCTGACACATTGCAAACCACAATAAATGCTATTACTATTGCTTTTATAACTCCAGACTCGTTAATTACTAGGCTAACAGTAGATAAGCTTACCGGAACATTATAGGGATATTATGTCCTTTATAATATTAGGTAAAAATAACAATATGGAGAATCATAGCATTGAGAGCTGAGTCTAGGAAAGTGATTTGAAAATTGAGTTACTGAAACCAATAAATCCCTTTATTGAAAGACTGTGCTCAAAAACTGTCACTTTCGAATACATTTACGATGTACTTGACGCTTTTAGCACAACCAATAGAAATGTGATGCTGTAGAAAGGAAAAGTAGATATGTCACAGGCAGTTTTTCTAAATCGCCTCAACTGCTTTTCCAGATATTAGGAACTCTGAGTAATCCTCGGACCACCTACTGGGACAGTCTGGGAAGTCTTGTGGCCTCTGCTACTAGTTTCTTCTGCTAGTCTGAAGAAACCTCCCCTGACTTAGAGGATCAGGCCCACCTGAAGGTCTCAGGAAGCTTGGAAAGGCTGTTCCAAGCCTAGCACTTTTAAGATAAAGGGAAAAGCCACTTTATCATATGCCGTACATCTTCTAATGAACCCACGTGTGTAATACTGAGGGATTTCATCTCTCCTGATGAGTAATGTAGACAATTGGAAACACTGATGCTCAACATTTCCATCGCCCCATGCACCACAGAGTTTGGCATTATAACGTAAACACAAATATTCAGGCAATTGGAAAGCGAGAAGATCCAAATACATGAAAATGCTGGTGTTCTACAGCCACTCCTTGACCCCTCTCCACACAGCGCTAGGGTTGGAAAAGTCCAAGTCACAGTAGGGTGTGTTTTGATAGATGAACCGATACCCTGGAGCTCATTTTAGTAGGGAGACAAGTAAAGACCCTCTCATCCGAGTTTGACTGTAGAGCTAATTTGTCCTCATGAGTCAGAAGTTCTAAGAAATCAGGAAATACAATTTTATTCCATTCATTTACTTTCTGTATCACTTATCTCTTGGGAAGGTGAATTCCTTTGCTTATTCCAATTTTGCAAGGGAAAAAGTTGCAAAAAGGGAAGGGTAGGTGTGATTTTCTCCTGTGAAATTGCTCCCTAACCAGTGACGTACTATATAGGCTGCCTGAGCCAAATTCACCCCCGACTGCAGTTCTGAAAGGCTACGTATGTAAAGCCTACATCAGGAGAGAGAAAATGATGACAAGAAAAGAGCCATTCGTCCGAAAGGAGAATCACAGTGGCTGGGCTGACTCAGGAGTCTGTAGGGAGGGCCGGGCAGGGCTGAGATGGGGGATATTTGTACAGCTGTTGCTTGAAAGTGACTTCATAGGCTTTGGTGGCTAAAAAGACCGATTAAGGCTGCCCTCCCCCTACACAGAGAAAAAGGTCATTCATATTCCCAGGATGTCACTTTAAAACTTCCTTTCCCATTCAGCATGGAACCTGGGTTCTTTTCCCCCTCAGGATGGGGCTAATCTCATGATCTTGAGTGAGAAACTCTGGACTTGGTCTTTATGATGATGGTTGACTTCATAGACACTGAAGGAAGGGAAATCATATTTACTTTGCATCTAGTGTGTGTCAAAAAATCCACATCCCTCATTTCATTTAAATTTCCGAAGAGCCTTGTATCATCTTCATTTTATCTGAGGAAACCAAGTCTCTGAAACCAAGTCTTTTTGCCTGGTTAAAAAAACCAGATAAGTGAAGAGCTGGGATTCAAACCCAGGCATACCTCCAAAGCCATGCTGTTCCTTCTTGAATTTCTCTACTGACAACGTGTTAAGGGCTCTGCCATTCTTTCCAACTTCGGCAACATCCTCTGTGCTTTAATAAGTAGTTAATGACCAGTTCAAGGCAGTGGCTTAATTTGTGCACATAGATAAGTTTAAAGGTAATGGACCATCCATGTTCCTGCAAATGGCATTATTTTGCTCTTTTTAATGGCTGAGTAATATTCCATTGTATATATGTACCACATCTTCTTTATCCATTCCTGTTGATGGACATTTAGGTTGCTTCCATGTCCTAGCTATTGTAAATAGTGCTGCAATGAACACTGGGGTGCATGTATCTGTTCAAATTATGGTTTTCTCAGAGTATATGCCCAGGAGTGGGATTGCTGGGTCATATGGTAGTTCTATTTTTAGTTTTTTAAGGAACTTCCATACTGCTCTCCATAGTGGCTGCATCAATTTACATTCCCACCAACAGTGCAGGTGGGTTCCCTGCTCTCCACACCCTCTCCAGCATTTATTGTTTGTAGATGTTTTCATGATATCCATTCTGACCCACGTGAGGTGATACCTCATTGTAATTTTGACTTGCATTTCTCTAATAATTAGTGATGTTGAACATTTTTTCATGTGCTTTTTGGCCACCTGTATGCCTTCTTTGGAGAAATGTCTATTTAGATCTTCCACCCATTTTTTGATTGGGCTGTTTGTTTGTTTTGATATTGAGCTGCATGAGCTTTTTGTATACTTTGGAGATTAACCCCTTGTCTGTTGCTTTGTTTGTAAATATTTTCTCTCATTCCTAGAGACTGTCATACTGAGTGAAGTAAGTCGGACAGAGAGAGACAAATATCATGTGATATCACTTATACGTGGAATCTAAAAAAAAAGGGTACAAATGAACTTATTTACAAAACAGAAGTAGAGTCACAGATGTAGAAAACAAATTTATGGTTACCAAGGGATAAGGGGGGGAGGAATAAATTGGGAGACTGGGATTGACATATACACACTACTATACATAAAACAGATAACTAATAAGGACCTTCTGTATAGCACAGGGAACTCTACTCAATACTCTGTAATGGTCTACATGGAAAAAGAATCTTAAAAAAAAAAAGTGGATATATGTATATGTATAGTTGATTCACCTTGCTGTACACGTGAAACTAACACAACACTGTAAATCAACTCTACTCCGATAAAAAAAATAATAAAGGTAATGGACCTGGGCATTTACATCTCAAGGAAAAGAAGAAAAATTGTCAGACCAGTTTCCTCTCTCTCTCCCTAGCCACCCTCCATTCCCTCCTGTAGTAAGTTAGAGCGTCACTTCACTTCATTTCTACATCAGACAATTACCCTTTCATCAGATAGTCCAGAATTTACTGCTGTCCTGGTAGAAGCCATTAACAGAAACCTTATGTCTTCTGCTGGAGCACACGATGACATATCCATCTGTAGTACCTTCTGCAAGATATATGTTCCCTGTGTGCTGCTTGGAGAATTCAGAACGATGCCCAAACCCAAGGAAGCTTTGTGTTTTAGTGAGCAAGAAAGGTGCCAATTTTGTAGATGCTGGTTTCTCTACATCTCGCCAGATGCCGAAGGCTGAGGGGTGAAGTCCCCCAAATGCACCTATACGGAGTTATATTGCTATGTGAATAATGTTCAGAGAGCCACAGTCAGCTTTTGAAAAACTGAATCCCAAGCCCCCTTCCCCTGTATTTCCAATCAGATGAGCCCTTGCTAGTAATGACCGTGTGGGCTCAGCACATCTGGCTTCCTGGTCTTGAGCAGACAAGAGGAAAGAAGGGAACACTGTACACTCCTGGGCACCATCCACTCCTGGAACAATACGCAACTGGAAGGATGTCCACGTCCTGAAATGCACTGACAGCAGCCCTTTCTGGATGCACAACGAGTGGGTCGTCTGCCTCCTGACTCACTGACGTATGTATTCTGCAGACTTTACAAAGGGATATGCCATGGAGGGGCATGGCGGGCTGCGAAATCTAGAAAAGATGGAGTAAATGTTTTCCTTTGAGAATGGTTAGTTTCTCTTTGAAACTAGGGGCCATTTTGCTTCATCCAAGGGTCTTGGTGACTTCGTATTTCCTTAACCAATCCAGAGTTCTCGTTAGGTGCAGCCTGGGATCCAGAGAATACGCTTGGCTCATAGTAAGGACAGGGCAGGAGCTGAGTGGCAACCAGCAGGCAGGAGGTAATGATTTTCTCACCTCAATCCCACTCGTTCCCCCACAGATTCGATTTTACCAAACTCAGGAGCTGTAGATGTGTGTGAGCATAAGGACTCCTTCTTTTCAAATCACTTCCCCAGAGACAACTTCCTGAGAGCCTTATGCCATCTGATGATAATCTCAGCTAAAGGCTACTATGACCGTATCATCACGGAAACAATGGCTCTACGATGGGGCTCTGAGAACCAAGAGAAGATCCATCCCCACCCTCCATGAAAATGGAACCAGGGAAGGTTAAGCTGGGAGGATATGAGAACAAGACTGCCACTTCACTCTAACCCATCACCCTGCCCTTTTGTACCCACTTTTGTCTGTACCACACTGTCCCCTGGGACACACAAAAACAGACGCAGACGATTTCTTCCCAAAAGTGATCCCAGATAAAGAAGTACCTAAATAAATACGTTTACACCATTCCTAAAAGTTAAAAAATGTTTATACTGAATATAAAACAGTGCAAAATTACAAAAAAAAAACAACAACAACAACATACTGATCAATTGAAAGTAGAGACCAACTGTAAGAAACATGTGACCAGGACCTGAGCTACTGGTTTTAGCTGGAAGCTAAGGGAAGAAGTAAAACATGATGGATAATGTAGTTCTCAGATACAGAAGAAAATACATAGTTTCGTCCTGTGGAGACAAACTTTTCCCTGGCACTGGATTTAAGGAGAAATGTGTGTCCTGGTTCCTTATGTAAGAGGCATGCAGCACAACGCTTACCTAAGGAATTTCTGTAAGGGACACAGTGCCTCCAGTTGCAGTTTTACAAAAGATACAGATAAGACACACTGTGGACAACAGATGGGAGGAGTAGAGCTTCTGCTGTGGGTGAAAGCCTGAGGGTTAGTTTTACATTTTCACCCAGGCAGAAGCCAACCCATTCGTCTACAGGCACAGGCCATGGACATGCTTTGGGGAAAGCATCAATGTCTATGTAAAAAAAGGAAGCTTTGAATTCCTTTAAGGGGTTAGCATCTGCCGTGTGTCAGGCACAGACCCAGACACCTTACAAAGTGTATCATGAAGCAATATGTTGCATCGACAGAATGACGGACTTGTAGTCAGATGTGGATCCGTCCCAGTGTGATTGGGAGTAAGTTAATTAAACATCTTTGTATTCAGTTCCCATGTCTGTAACATGAGATCAATATTATCCAGCTTAGGGAGTCACGGTAAGAATAAAATGAGAGAAAAAATGTACAAAAGATATGTAGCCCTACTGCCCAGTAAGTAAATGCTCAGTCTTCTTTTTCCCTGTTTACCCATATAATCTTGACAAGTCTATGCAATTAGGATTGTACAGAAGCAGACACTGAGCTTGAGAAAAGTTAAGTAATCTGTACTAGACCATGCAGCTGAAGTGCCAGACTCATGGTTTAAATGCAGGACAGTCTCATTTCAGATGCGATGCCCTTCCTGCTTAACCATCTAATTAGTTGAGACTTGAGTCTATATCATTTCAACAAGAAGTGACCATCTCGGTTTGAACAATTTGAGCATCAATCATCCTCGGGAAGAGATCAGGGGCCAAAGCTTCGGCAAGGTGCTCACCTGACCAAAGGTGAAGTCCATCAAAGCCATAGGAGTACAGGTCATCGCCAACACCGTTGCCCCCCCATCCTTCTCCGCCTCCGGGGTACGGGGCATAGCCTGAGGAAGAGGCCCAGCCCACCCGCAGGTGTGTGGGCTCTGCTGTGAGGAAGGGGTCCACCTGGTCGATGATTAGCTCGAAGTACCACTTCTTGTACTGTGCTGAGCCCTCAGCGACTCCCAGGAAGATGTTTGGCCGAATACTGAAATTAAACACAGGACAGGTGGCATCTACAGACTCTTAAGAAGTAAAAAAGCAAACTGAGCCGGACCATAGGAGGCACCGGCCCAACTGAACCGAGGGCAAGAGCAATGTTGTGATTTTCGTCTTGTTCTAAAGTAGAAACAAAAAAAAAAAAAAAAAAAAAAAAGAAATAATCCAGACAGAGAAATACTGCATGGTATCAATTACCTGTGGAATCTAAAAAAAAAAAGAAAGAAAAAGTCCAACTCCTAGAAAGAGCAGAAAAGTGGTTTCCAGAGAGCAAGGGTAGGGTTGGGGGGATAGGGAGAGATTGGTAAAAGGGCACAAACGTTCACTTAAAAGATGAATAAAGTCTGAGGATTTAACATGGTGACTATAGTTGATAACACTGTATTGTATAGTTGAAATTCACTAAGAGAGTAGAACTCACACGTTCTCATTAAAAAAATAAAAAGGTAAATGTGTGAGGTGCTGGATGTGTTAATTAACTCGATGGGGAGAATCCTTTCACAATGTATATGTGTACCAAACCATCACATAGTATATTTTAAATATCTTACACTTCTGTTTGTCAATTATACCTCAATAAAGCTAAAAAAAAATTCAAGCTTGATGACAAAAACGGTGGAGGCGGGTTGTGGAGACATCACTATTAGGCAACTTTGTTAAGGGATAGAGGTTTTAATGTATCCGGCAAAAATGGTTAAAAAGCTTGGCACAAACTACCTGGAGTTGTTCTGGTTGGAATCCTACTCTTAGAGGTCCACTGGCCTGGTCTGGGGCTATGTCAGTTTTGGGTTCACAAGGGAAAAACCAGACTGGTACCCAGCAGAAAGCCTGTGTGATGCCTGCAGACTGGAGCCTGCTCTACACTTCTGAGGGGAGGTTCTTTCCTCACATTGCAGGGTAGAGAGCGGGCCTAGGTGGAAAGTTGCTGAAGTTGGTCCCTAGTCCAGGCCCAGTGAGTTCATGACTCCCATGTGGCCGCACGTACGGGCCAGTAGGCCAGGGGTCTGCATGGGCCCGTGAACTTCATCCTGGCCTTCACAGATGGCCCTGGGGTAAACAGCCATGTGCCAGAGGACACAAGAAATCATCTCAACATGGGACATCCACTCTATTAAAAGACTTTTAGAAAAAAAAAGTTGGTACAGCAAAATAAAAATAAATACGTTAGGAGGAAGGTATAAGAGATGCATTAATGTTTAATATAAAACATGGTAGACCCCTCTCTCAAGGCCAAATTCTTTAGCCCTCAGATGGTATATTTCCTCTACCTCTGGCTGCTTTACAGGAGAAGTTTGAGAAAGTCCGCTGAAGGGATTGGAGTGCAAGGCCCTAGAAAAGTACACATTTGCCTGGTCTCGTCTTACGCGGCTGCATCAGCACAGAAATGATGGGCAGGTGGCTTTGGAGTTGAGATCAGCCCTCTTCCTTTCCTTTCTGGGGACAAGATGGGCATTTGGAATGACGGTGGTGGCCTTACCTTGTCACATCGTTAATGAGCCGCGTCTGCAGGAGCAGGTTTCTCTGGGGCAGCAAGTTGTCACAGATCAGATTCTGGTTGGCTCTCACTGCGACCCCATTGCAGAGACAGAGGGAACACAGCACATCCAGAACCTGCAGCAGGACACACGCCGCCAGACCTTAGGACCACCGGGAGGGCACAGCAGGCAGGACCTGATGGCCACAGCACATGAAGGAAGCAGGTCTCGTGAAGGTGGGGGCCGGGTGACAGGTGCGAGGACCTGTTTAGAGTCAAGAAAGCTGCACCTGTCTCACCAGGCATGAGTGAGTGATGCCCGGGAGCCTGCTGCCCCTCGGGAAAATGAGGCTGGGCTTCTTTCTAACTGCTCTGCCCTAGTCTTGTGCCCCATCCCTCCCAACTAGGCATGGCACCTGTGGTCACTGTCCTGTTAAAGTGGGGAAGAGTCTGAGCTCTGAAGACAGCCTGTCTAGGTTAATATCCCAGCCAGGGCCAGGACTAGGGAGAGGTGAGTCATCTAGGGCACAAAACCCAGGCACAACTTCCTCTCAGGGTAGGTGCTAGAAGGCCCTCCGTGGGCCTCAAGCTGACACTTGTGCTCCTGCCTGGCCCTGGGGGCCCTCTGCAGAAGATCAGTAGGCATTCGTACAGTGCTTCCTGAAACACGCTGTGATTCCCATTTGGCTACGGTCCCTTGCTCACAGCAGGCTTGGGACTCACGCGGGTGGGGTAGAGAGGAGAGCAGGGCAGATCCCGAGTCCTGGGTCTCTTGCTGTGATATTATCAAAGTTCACTAAGATACCCTTACATTCCTAGAAATCCCGAGTCACAAACATTTCACCTACAGTTTCTCGCCCTTAGAGTGAGAGCAAACCGCAAGAGCAAGCAAACCAGGTGGCTCCTGAATCTACCAGACCCATCATGAGCTGTCCCTAATCCACATCGTTCTCCAGCCACCTGGGAAGTGGGAACAGCCTCTGGCCGCTTCCGCCACGTGCTGGCCTGTCTGCCCTGCCTCCTCGTGCTGCATCCTCATTCATACAGATTTTGTGTTCCTACTGTGGCAGAGCAAACTGCTGGGCCAGGCACTCTCCCCGCACGCCCCCCCCCCCCCCCCCCCCCCCCCCCCGGGGGGGCCG